GGCGTGTCGGAGAAACGGGGCAGCGGCGGGGACCGAGTAACGGGCTTCGGTCATGAGATCAGGTCTAATAAACTGGAAGGCACGTGGGCAGCGACGGGGATGCGCTCAAGCAAGAGGGACCTCCGTGCCACGGGTGGGAGGGTGATGTCAGACAAAGGGATGCCGTTGAGAGACCCGGGCGTAAGCACAGAGCAGGGCTGCCAGCAGCCGCGCTAAGGGCCATTCCTCACGCTGGCTTGGTAACACAAGCACGATACCCAACGTTGCACTGTCACCCTCCCCGCAGCTTTCGTTGCGTTAGCTGACTTGGTCTTTGTCATCCAGTAATGGGAGGTTGTTGAAAAAAACACATTACATACTCTTGAAAACTGCCAGAGAAATTACTCCCTTAGTTTAATCTGTATTAGCTTTTTCTTTTTTTTCTGTAGATCCTCCATCACAGCTTTCATGACATCCCTGATGGCTTAGACACACCTTTGGAAATGGCAAGCTGGACTGCCTTCTGTAGAGAAGCTACTGGGTGGCACAGGTCACCCTGCCGCAGAGGAGACAGGTTGCCGACTCACCTATCTAGTTAATGACTTGCCTCTGGCACCCTGGTCCTTCTGCTAGAGCCTGGTCACTCCCTGTCCCCAGGGCTGGCGCGCTGTCCTGTTCTCCGGGGATGGCTCTGAGGCCTCTCTTAGCACACTGGACTCCTCCTGGCTGTCCTATTTAAATCCTCCAGCTTAGCCCTGCTGTCTGGTTCATGGTTACAAGATGGGAAATGTATTTTGTCGTCCAAGAAAATCAGTTAAAATCCCTGGAGAGCTAGATGCCACTACCAGCAAATTTCAATAAGAGAAGGGGGGGGGAAATGGCAAAATCCCTGGAAAAAGTAGAGAGATTTACAGGATTCTAGAAATCGAATTATTGAGCCTACACTACTCCTTAAGCAAAGGCAAACAGGTTGTGTGATGCTGGTTTATTTTTTCCCCATTTCTCAAACTGGCAGTTCCAGATTTGGTAGCATCGTTGTGCAGCGAAGGATCATTTTGGGGACCCTGGCATACAAAAAGCCATGGCTGTTTTCCTATCGAAGCAGAGACCTCCAGAGAAGGTTCTATCCTAGAAGCGTAACTTCTAGGATAAGCTTCTCAGAAGAAAATGCTTATTCTCTCAGCTGAACCTGCAAGTCGCATTCTGAATGCGGTTGAATAAAGTTCGGGAATTCATTAAGTAATACAATTTTTTATTTTCTGTGTTCAGTTTCCAAGAGTTGAAGCAGGAATAAGCGGGATTTTGGGAGGTGTCAGAGTAAGTTTCCATATAAAATCCATAGCAATATTAAGTAACAAGCCACATACATTATGGAAAGCTTAGTGATATCAGGAATGTAGTCACTTATTTTTCTCCTAAAAGAAAAAAGTAACAGGGCAAGGAGATAAAGGACACAACTCTTAATCGTGTCTTGAGGATACCATTCAACACCACCATTATTCATTTCAGTCAAGAGGCCACTCGACATCTGCAACCTGAAAAAGCGAACCATGGATAGAAAGAAATTACAGAAAACTGTGTTAATTAGCTGCCTTGTTTCTGAACAACTTATTCTTTAATATTCTCTAATGACCTTGATACCAAATTCTTCAGTGGCTATTCTACAGAGTTTGGTTTTTTTTACTAATTTGCCTATACTTAAACTAAAGACAAATAAACACGTAGAAAGGCAGCTTAAGTATTTTGTTTAAATGATACAATTATGTTACATAGATGGTGGATGACAAAATGCTAGTAAAGTGCATGCACACAGATACTCTCCTCACCTTCTAAGGGCTTATCTACATAAAACTTTTGTCCTGAAATAAGCCATCATTTGGATAGATTCATATGGACACTTCTTGGATAATTGTCGAAGATTATAACCATATCACTCCAGAAACACTGGCAAAAAATGTTGATATAAGCCGATCCTATGTAGCCTTGTATAAACTTTTTGAAAATCAGTGCGGTTGTTACCCAATGACATGAGAATTTTTTTCACCCATTTTTACTCATAATTTACACCACCAGGAGCAAAGGTTTGAACATCTTAATGAAATGTTGAGGTAAGAATGTAAACACAGGAGAGGAGCTATATTCTATTTTGCCCGTCCAAGAACTTGACCTGTTCTTCTCAAGTTTAGTCTCATTAACAATTGGGAGGCACGTTCTCCAAAAGAAAACTGTAAAACATAGCTTGATTCTGATTGATGCAAAGATAAAAACTCCACAGGTTAAACCATAGAATTCTTTCCATAATTCTTGGCAAGACACAAATGCCTTTAAAATGTCCTATTCTTTAGTTCAGGCAGTGGGGAAGTTTACTAAGTATAATATGAAATGCTTTCTTACCATCCATACACTGAGCATAAGCAGATCTATGGGCAGTGACAATATTTACTTGCAGAATCTTAAGAAAAGATTTTTATTTTCTCCTGTAGTAGCAATATTGTTGTTTCTTTGCTGTCATTTATTGTTAGGGTTTGTGTGTGTTTGGCAAAACGGTACCCTTAGGCAAGGCATAGATAGCAGACACATGTTTTTATTAAAGTTTTTTGTAAGTTACACCCTGTCTTTTTTTGCAAATTAGTTCGAATTATGCAAAACTGTGAGCGTACAGCAGTAGTAACCCGTGAACTGGAAATACTTTGAAGAACGAGCATGAAGTAGAGCACCAAAGAGCATTAAAGAGTGTCTGATAATAAAACAAATTAGGCAGAGGGAGAATTCAGGAGGCAGTGGGAGGCTCATAGCAGGCACATGCTGTAATGGCAGCAAAAGGCAAGTGCCAGCAAGATGAAAACTGGATGTGCCCTAGAGCACAGGAGTGCCAGAAGACTGAAGAGCCACCTCCAAGAATCAGAAAGCACAGCTGCCTTCAGGACCGACATCAGGTAACTCCATTCTGAAGAGGAAACCAGATCAACATCCTCTTTCTTTCACAGATACTGACCACCCAGCGCAACATTATTTACTTTCTTCTTTGAGTCCTCCTTAGGGCTGAATTACTTAGAATACTTCTGGCTGAGCACTGTTGCACCTAAATAGCCTAAAATTACTTGTGTGAGGACCAAGGATCTTCACAGTTTCCTGGTGATGCAAAATTACTCATGGTAAGCAAAACAAAAGCTGACTGACAATAGTGAGTGATAAAGGCAATGAGACGGCGGCTGAAAGTCTATGTCAATAACTGCAAACTAATGTAAACAGTAATGAAAATGGCCCTAACTAAATATACATGATAATGGGCTCTAAATTAGCCTTTATCATTTGGAGTCATTGTGAGTAGTTTTCTGCAAACATCAGCTTGCTACTCAGCAGTAGTCCAACAGGCAAACAATGTTAGAAATTACTCCAAAAGCAGCCAAGAACAAAGCAGAAGAACTCATTACATCCCTGTGTAAATCTCTTGTGCACTTGAGTGCTGTGTACAGTTCCAGTTCCTTCATATGAAAATGTGGAACTAGAAAATGCACGTACATGGCTAAAAGAGTATGTGCAGAGGTATGGGAATATATGGGAGATAATTTCTAGCTGGAGAACAGACTGGGAAAGCATTGTCTT